GATATCTGCAATAAAATGTTTTCAATTGATATTTGCTGACATATTTAAGAAAATTTAAAACTTATAATTATCACATTACTTTTCTTAAGGTGTGAATTCTATTTCAATATTTTATAATTAACACTCGATTTTCAAGTGAAGTGTAAATTATATTTGAAAATAGATTTTCACTTAAATATTGATGAGTTCTGGTTTACAAGAGAGTGAGTTCAAAGAGAGTTTTTGATAAGTTTGATAATAAGAAGCCATGCTTAGATTTAAAGGTTGGTGATTTTGTAAATTTAGGAACATTTCACCAAACAAACAAAAATATTCCTTGACAGCTGTATCGATACTGGGGTATTAATAGTATATTGGGTTAGTTTGAAATTTCTTTTGTTATAAGAATTCCATCATCTAAGAATATTGTACATAATATTGTTCAAGATCAAAACTATTTGGAAGCCACTGTGTAAAGAAAAATTTAAGAATCTCCTTTTGCTTAGTAAATGTGTGTGGAGTACAGTTGCAGTCTGAATTCAGAAGAATAGAAGAGGGTAATCCATTAAATTACATGTAAGGCAGCTTTTAATCTGTACATGCATATATGTAGGTTTCTGAAATCTTTTCCATTTATAATTCTCAACTATGCTCAAACAATGCACAGCAAAAAGTGGTGGTTAGATCTTTGACACTTGTGGCATAACTACTGTACTAGAAATGGAAACATAGCTTATAATGTTTCTGCTACTTGGCTACAGTTAGCTGAGACATCATAGGTATTTTCAAATGATGTTTGCACTCGGTGATTTCAAAGCAAGGTTTACATATGATTGTCAATTGCGTTATACACTTTTCTCAAAACATTTTTATATCGTTATAAGTTGTACATGTACATGTGTTCTCATTCTTAGTGTATAATCCCTAATGAGACATTGTTTTAGAAAAAAATTATATTTGATAAGTTTACCTTTGCTTTAATAACCCCCCAACCCCAACCCTCTGGAAATTCCAGTTAAGCTCCATACATTCCAACCTATAATTTTTTATTTTCTGGACACGCCAGTATCGTCTAGGATTTCCTATGACTTTCCATGGCAAATTTATAGTTAATAAGTACTTCTACTTAATATCCTATATTCGCAGTCAGCTAATTATGTCCGCTGTCATTTTCTTTACAAGTAACAAATTTTTTTAAAATAGATCATCCTTATAACCAGCAAACAGTGACATGTACAAGAAAAGTGATTATATCAATCTTGGAGCCTTCAGTCCAAAACTGCAAATAGATCTCTCTCTTTCCACGATAGCTGGCATTTCTGTGAAAATGAATATTTAGACCCCATAAATTTAATGTAGTTCTTTCATTAATTCTTTCAGATTCTCGTCCTCTTCACAGAGGCTCTCCCATGGCTTCTCCGCACAGGAATTCCCCTGTGTCCTTTTCACATAGTGGGCATAGCACTGACAGCGACAGCAGCATTGCCAGCGCACAATATCTTTTCACTGATGTCGCTCACAGCAAGGACCTGGTAACTGCCCTCAGGTTTTTACGTCGAGATGAAGACTTGTGTGACATCGTGTTGAGAGTTGGCAGTACTAGTATTTCAGCTCACAAAGTTGTTTTGGCTGCAAGTAGTCCATACTTTAAAGCTATGTTTGCTGGTAAGTGCAGTCAAAGCTCTATTAATGGACTGTCCTGTGGGCAGATACCTACAATGTAATTGTAGGAATACACTTTCAATGTAATCTAGTCTCGGCCATATATAAATTTCACTGCCTTTTAATCTTCCATAAGCAGACACTTTTTGAGGTTTCAAGAGTAAATGGTCTTAAGGGAGCTACTTCATGGTTTGCACATCTTGAAAAGTTTAGCCTAAATTTTTCAAGTTTGTTGTTTGTAGTCTGTGTCAATCTTCTCCTTCCTTAACTATCCTTGTTCCTTTATGGTTTATTATTATTTCTCTGGTGTTTTTCTTGATCTTAGTAAACTATTATTTTCAGGTTTCCTTCAATTTACATGCAAAGGTAATTTTGTACTTGGCAAAAATAACTCGAAATACCGTGACTGAACCCCTTAGAGTGTCTACTTGTGCTGAGTATTTTAGCTACAGTGTATATGTACCCCTGGGATGGGCTGCCAGTCCATAACTGGATTGTCTCTTGCAGGACAGAAACAAAATTGTTATGGGCAAGTTCGTACTATGTGATGTTCAAGTGCAAAACATCATTGTCACTAGCCCCAGGGCAAGGATTCAATTTCATCTCTCACAGTGCTCTGATTTGAATTCCTTCAAAAATTTTCCCAAAAAATTAAACTTGCTCAAAGGGCAAGCAATGGACAGAATATACTAGCTGAACTGAAAAATCCACTGACCCAGGCTATCTTTTGGACAGGACTTTGTTTGCACACTGCATCCAATGGTTCCTATTTATACCCCTGAGACACACTGTAATTGCACTAACCAGGACTTGAATCCAGACCACTTGATCCAGAGTCCACCGTGCTATAAATTGCAACCACTATTAAATTAAATTAATTTTTAATTAACAGGGGGCCTCTCAGAGAGTCGGCAGAGCACTGTGACATTACAAGAACTTGACGAACGTGCAATGGAAACCATGGTAGATTTTTTCTATAGTGGTGAAATTGAGATTTCAGAGAACAATGTTCAGGACCTTCTACCAGTGACCTGTGTTCTGCAAGTGCAATCTGTGCAAGAGGCTTGTTGTGAGTTCCTGAAAAGGCAACTTAGCTCTGAGAACTGCCTTGGTAAGTTAATTAGCAACACTTGTGCAGTGTACGCAATGTATCTAACTTTTCTTGCAAGTTTATAGTGATTGAGAAGAAGTTGGTAGACACTATCAATTACAATCAGAATGTTCAGTGTTGATAATAAGATATCTCCCAGGATAATAATTATTGTTAGTAGTTATTACTTATCCAGAAGCAAGTAAAGTTGTGTGCATGTGTAGCCCACATTAGGGAGCTTATAAGTAATAACAATGGCAACGCAGAGGAATATGTCCAGCAAAAAGGTGAATTCATTTTATTGCATTTTGTCTTTGAATCTTGCAATTATTTTAGTACTACAGTACTGTAGATCTGTTCTGTGTGCCTATCAGTCTTGAAACGTGCTAAAGCTAAAATTGCAACAACAATTTTCTACTCCAATAGGAAATACAAAAAATTAGCTGTGGTCTTTCATGTTCTTTAAAATACCCAGAACATTGTCATTTCATGTTGTTGGTTGCAGGGGATGGTGAAGAAATGTACAAAGGTTTATAATACATGTGCACAGCTATTGTTCTGCTCATTAAACCTTTTGTTTCATGACATTCTTGTTGTTGTTGCTCTTCTGGCTTGCTTATTTATAAGCTCCCTTAATTTACTGTATTTGAACAAGAGAATCACCTCAGTGCTCATGCACTCAATTCTTTTCTTGTTTGATGTCAGGGATTCTACAGACTGCAATTATTTCATTTGGTATAATTGTCCCTTTCACCTGTGGTGACTTGAGATGTGAATCATATCCAAATGAATCTTCAACATACAAATGTGTCTGCATAATCTGTCAACTTTATTGTGTGATGAAGACTGCATTTTTAAGTAGTTAGCTGTCGCATCATTGCAATCTGCGTCTCAGTTGACTACATTGCCTGACACAAATGATGATACGATATAAATTGCACTTTTAATTATGTTGATCACAACACATACTGAAGTATGACACTACACAGAAAAACAACCGCTGAAAACAAACAGGCAAACAAACAAACTTGTAAGCAATCATGAGGCATAAAACAAAACTAAACAAACACACCAAAACAACAAACCGTAAAATTTGTACAGCAGTGCCTTTCTGCTTTTCAGCTCAACAACTTTGAGCCGTCATCAAGTTCTTATAGATCTCCTAGGATCTCCTTTCCCTTAGGATTTGTATCAGTTGCATGTATTTTTATTGTAAAACAAAAGAGAGTTGTCTTTAGTTAAAATAAATTATTGCTGATTGTTTGCAGGAATTAGTGCTTTTGCTGATCGGCACGGTTGCACAGCTTTAGTGTCATCTTCAGAATCATTTGCTAGGCAACACTTTATTGATGTTGTTCAGAGTGAAGAGTTTATGGAAATCTCTGCTAAGCAGTTGACACGACTCTTGTCTGATGATGACCTCAACATCCAATCTGAGGAGCGAGTGTTTGAAGCTGCTTTAGCATGGATCAAATATGATGCTGATGTGAGACAGGTACAATAAGTCTGTAAAGTTCCTTATTATATGGTCAACTCTGTGAGCAGGCAAGATAAACGGAATCTTGTGCTGTGATTGGCTACCCGAGCAGGCAAGATAATCATATGCTTTCTTGCCTGCTCGGAATTACCTGCAGTGTCCCTTAAGAAAATAGTGTTCTTTTTCCATACAATAAATCCTTTATTGGCCAAGCTTGTGCGGTCAAGAAGGCTGGATATTAGCCTAGTTCTTTTTTTTTTGTTGTTTTTTTGGCGTGTTTATGGACCAAGACGGAGTCTCTAGAGGTGCATAAACACGCAATTAAAGAACGAAACCAATACCCAGCCATCTTGACCAAACAAGCTTGGTCAATAACCCATATGTAAGTGACAACCCTTGAACTTCAGTTTCAGATTTAGCAGCGTTTTTGTGTGGGTACATACTTTCGGAGGGCCACTATAGTTTGGGTAGCTTTAAGTTATTGTAAGCTAATCAACTGATGTGTAACTCGAGGAGAAAACATTGATTTGTTTCACACATGTACAAGATAAAAAAGAAATATATACGTAAAATTAAATCAGAACGAGCAGTTAGCAAGTAGTTAGCTTGCGATAAAACGATCAATTTCTGACATATATATGTCATGATATATATATATATATATATATATATATATATATATATATANATATATATGACACATACTGACAACCGTGAAATTTTGATCGTTTTTTTCTGGAGGGTTTTTCTATTGTTCACTGTGCCAAGCTTTTAATGCATATTCCGACTCTTGAGTTGTTTACTGCTACCCTTTAAGTCCTAAAATCAAACTATGAATTCTCCTTATTTATTGGTTACATTTCTTTTAATTCCAGTGTTGGGAATTTGATACAATGCGATGACATGTGTAAGTGTAACATATTGATCTTTTGCTCAGGAATCTGCCCCTGAAATCCTCAGCAATGTTAGGTTTCCTTTGCTGTCAGCGGAATTTCTAATGGATAGAGTAGCAACAGAGGAAATTATCAGAAACAACAGAGCCTGCAGGTAAACTTTGTTTGATAATCGTACGTTGTATCGAGCTCATTTTTTGGCTGAATCTCTCGAACGATATCATTGTGCGTCCTTGATAATGGCTTTCCCTGAATGACTAACAACAAAATGCACGCAATTTCAATGTGGGAATCTGGGACCGAATCAATTATAAACATTCCTGAAACCCTGAGCTAATGGCCACGCAGGTAGACGCAAGTGGAAAACTTGGGTCTACTTGCGACTCTGTTTGGCCAGGCCTTACGTGCACTTGCGTTGACTTGCGACGACTTGCGCTCACTTTGATCAAATTTGCACGTAAGTCGGCCCAAGCTTTTCACCGTTTGGCCACCCATCCCAAGTCGACGCAAGTTAAGTGACGTTTATTCGTTGTTAGTATAAATCTACTAGCGTTCTATCACGAATGCCGTTCTCTGATTGGCTACGCTACGCACTATCTATTCTGTGATAGATTGTGAGTAGAGTAGCAGTGTGCCCTTATTCACAAAATGAAGGCCGCTTCTTGGTGTTTTCGAAGTGTCTGTGAAGAGGATTTAGATAAAGTTTTGAACTACTAGTAGATTTATACTAAAACAATTAGATTATTCGCTCTCGATTTCTATCGCGTGATAGTTGACGAGGGCGCAGCGATAGAAATCTCGAGCTCATAACCTAATTGTTTAATAGATAGTGAGTAGCGTAGCAGTGTGGCCTTGTTCACAAAATGACGGCCGCTTCTTGACGTTTTCGAAGTGTCTGTGAAGAGGATTTAGATAAAGTTTTGAGCGACTAGTAGATTTATACTAAAACAATTAGATTGTTCGCTCTCGATTTCTATGCTGCGCCCTCGTCAACTACATTTGTATCACGCGATAGAAATCTCGAGCTCATAATCTAATTGTTTATTATGGCATCCTATTAGCCAATGAAATACAAGATATCTTTGCAGGGTTTCAAAGCCTTTTTTTGTGATTTGCGAGGAAACTTGCGAGTCCGTTTGGTCACCCTTGGCCAAGTCTCTTCGCAAGTTCAACTTGCGACTGTTTGCGAGCCCGTTTGGCTCAGGGCTTTACAGCTATATAGCTATATAGCTGTTACTTATCCGTTATTTTAACTGGTTCTCATCGTTGACTATTCGCTCACAGACGATCGCGCGCTCTTATTTTCCACATGCCTCGATTGCTCGGAAGCTCATGGATCGTAATATGTCAAACACGAGAGAGAGTGTTTTACCACATTTCCAAACACCGAGAAAAGAGTTGAAAATACGACGCGTAGCGGAGTATTTTTGACCAACGTCGAGGTGTTTTCAAACGTGGTAAAACAGTTTCTGGAGTGTTTGATATATCTTCTCAATCGAAACTAATTCAGAAGAGGAAATAGAGCAATAAAATCGTAAAAAAATATCTACGATAATGAAGATCAGACATCTAAACACCGTCACGGTTATGATTTACTTTGTTTATACTTGATGAATTACTCAGAAGTTCAAGCTTATAAATGCAGTGAACGGCGCTAATTTTTTTTAATCTTTTTTTTAACAGTGATCTTTTGCTGGAGGCCACAGAATGTCTTCTTATTCCCAAGCGAAAATCTCAGATGCACAATCACAGAGTAGCTCCCAGGAGACCAACATCTGTCAATCATGTGCTGTATGCTATTGGCGGAATGAGCCGCAGGGAAGCCAGTAAAAGTGGAGAGAAATATGACCCCAAAGAAAGAAAATGGAAAACTATTGGTGAGGTTATTCTTTCATGATATCAGCTCGCGTTGTTGCTAGACTGCGAGCAGTCTCTCTTTAACTTGAAAATCCGTGGGGAGGAACGCAAAACAAGTAAGCATGCGAGTAAGACTGCGAAGCCGCGAGTCGCGAGTAGCGCGGGCGTCTCGCAGGCTCACGACCGCTCACTTGTGTTGTGTTGTTTGCGTTCATAGCCGCAGATTTTCGAGCAAAACAGAGTCTGTTCACAGTCTACATTGTTACTGTCCTAGCTATTCAACAACTTGAAGTTGATAAAGGGAAAACTCATCTCCCTAGCGAGGTTATGAAGTTCATGAACGCACTCGCTTAGCTTCACGAGCTCGCTACAGCGGCTAGTTTCTTTTCATCAACTTTTAGTTTATGTTGAATAACTAAGTGTTTCACTTGTCCACCGAGATAACCAAACAGTTTCTTCAGAAAGTTACGATACCTTTGTTGCCATGATTTCTCAAGTGTTCTAGAAACCCGTCATACGTTTACTAGACAATAAGCATGAAAATGCATTCTGTTTGACGATCGCCTGTAGTCTACACTGAAAAGAACAAGACCGCTGATATTTTGTATCGTATGACGATTCCCTCCCAAAAGCTTTTGAAAGTGGAGGGTTACATTTGTAAACTGTATGCACTAAAACTCTGCTAACAGGTAAACGTTGCGAACAACAAGATAAAGAAGAGCAAAATATACTTATTTTCTTCCATCAGTGTCGTTTATTAAACTTTTGATATCTGCTTATCAAAAACAAAACGTGTTGTTTTACCCCCCCCCCCCCCCCCCCNGGGGAGGAGAATCCCATATGAAAAAGACGGGGTGGCTCGTCGTACTGTTTAGGGGTTAAAAAAGCGGGTTTGGGAGTTCTTAGTGTTCAGCCTCAAAAGGTTCACAGCGGGAGGGTTTTGGCTCGATTACCACCACTGTTCGGAAAAGGAGCCCGCGCTCCGAGTAACGTAAACCGAGAGAGCGGTGGAAATCAAGCCTATTTAGGGTGTTGAGCCGAAAAAAAGTCAGTGTTAGTTAATATGTTGTTTTATAATTGGTGCCCCTTAGGGATGAAAAAAACTATCAAGCCACGCCCACAAAACGGAATCGTGGTGCCTCTGCGGGGTTCTTTTCAAAATTTCCAAAGAGCATCCCCGTCATTTTTACATAGAAGTCCTCCTCCCCCCTGGGGTATTTTGAAGACTCAAGTTAGTTAACAAACGTTTTTTCCTCTTCCTTTCTCGATCTAGGCGACATGAACATTTGCCGTTGGGGTGCAGATGTGGGTTCATTGGGGCCGTTTCTTTACATCTGTGGAGGCAGTGACGACTCCTCCCGGCTGGAGACAGTCGAGAGGTTTGACCCGTTTGCTAATGTGTGGGTACCGTCTGTGCCCATGTCGTCGAGTCGCAATGGTGTTGGTGTCACAGCTGGGAGTGGGAGGATATATGCATTAGGTACGTCATGTAGGACGCCTTTCCATTGATTGGTTTGTAAAGCTCGTATGACTACTTTACCCAATCAGGGCGAAGGCCATTTTTTCGGTTTATTATTGCGCTTTTCAATTGAGTATCGTAAAACCAAAACCAAGTGATTACTTTCAATTGGCCAATCACAAAGGACACACAATTCAGTGAACCAATGAAAAACTCGAAGCAAACATATGTAGCCGACGCAGAGCGCGGGAAAACGCGAGCTAGCGTGTCACGTTTTCTTTTGTTTTAACTTCTCATTGATTGAGAAAGTGGCGTGAGCTATTAAAACCAATCCCTAAGCGTAGAAATGCATTCTAACTCAAGCGCGAAGTACTTTCAACACTCAATTGAAAACCGCT